CATCGTTAACCTTGTTAAATGGCTGCTCAATTTTAATTGGCCAATGGCGGCCATGTTTTTTGAGATATGCCAATGTCCTTATAGTATATTATGACAAGTTGGTCAAAGACACTGCATGCCAAATTTCAAGCTGATCGGACTAATGGCTGTAAGGTTAGAGTAATTTATATGTTTTTTCAGCTTTATAGCGCCACCATGTTGCCAAAGTCTGCGGGTTTTGCAGTGTCACCTCAAATTGAACTTATGGATGTGTGTACCAAGTTTGGTGATGATGTCTCATTTAGTTCAAAAGTTATAGCTCCAATTAGCATTTAGCTTCAATTAGCGTCGAACGTTGTTGTGTACTGTTTCGAGTGAGAATAAAAATGTCAACTTTTTTTTGATAATTATTGATATTCAGTGTCCAGAGAACATTTGAGAGCTGGTTTGGTTTAGATTGAGTGTAAAACCTAGGACTAGTTCGCAAAAGTAGGTTTCGGACAAATCGCGATGTAGCGGGAAAACGGTGCGTCGTAGAGCAAAAAGTTCAGCTGTGCACTTTTGTTGGGGCTAACCCAAGGATTGAAAAAATGTAAAGTTTTTGAGTCTACGACAAACGGTGAACGTATAGCGGTCAAAAATGTCCAAAATCTTGGTTTTTGGCGCCATAGCGCCACCTATGGTCCGATTTGGTTGATCTTTGGTGAGAACGTAGTGTACCGGAGTACTACCATCTGGCCAAGTTTCAGCTCTCTCGGCCTTACGGTTTGGTCTGGGCAATAGTGACTTCGGCAGAATAATAATAATAATAATAATAATAAAAATCTTAACAAAAACAATAGGGTTTCAGCGCTTCGCGCTTGACCCCCTAAAAATCTTAACAAAAACAATAGGGTTTCAGCGCTTCGCGCTTGACCCCCTAATAAAAATCTTAACAAAAACAATAGGGTTTCAGCGCTTCGCGCTTGACCCCCTAATAATAATAATAATAATATAATACAAAAAGAAAATATAATAATAATAATAATAATAATAAATAATAAAATATACAAATAGAAAATATAGTAATAATAATAATAATAATAATAATAATAATAATAATAGTAATAATATACAAATAGAAAATATAATAATAATAATAATATACAAATAGAAAATATAATAATAATAATAAATAATAGTAATAATATACAAATAGAAAATATAATAATAATAATAATAATATACAAATAGAAAATATAATAATAATAATAATAATAATAGTAATAATAATAAATAATAATAAGAAGAATAAAAATCAAAGAATATAATAATAAAAGCAATAATAAATATAATAATAATAACAACAACAATAATAATAATAGCAAAATAAAAATATTAATAATAATAACAATAATAATTAAGATAAATAAAAAGATAAAATAATAATAATAATAATAATAATAACAATAATAATAATAATAATAATAATAAATAAATAAAAATAATAATAATAATAATAATACAAATAATGCAAATAATAATAACAATAATAATAAATAAATAAATAATAATAATAATAATAATAATACAAATAATGCAAATAATAATAATAATAATAATAATAATAATAATAATAAACTAGGGACACACCCCTACTCTTTTTCACTATATGCTCTGCTTTAGATTTTTCTGTGTTTGTGGAAAGCCCAATATATGAGCAGGCAGAGCGGGCTTCTCGCAATGACCACCAGTGCAATACTGTTCTTTGTCATGAGCCATTCTTTGACATTAAACTTAAAGGCAAACTTTTTTGGCGATGTTAAATTCTACATTTAGCAGCCGTTTGTGTTGAACACGCAGTGAATGCAATGCAGATTCAGCCCACTAAACAGCTGATCCACACTGACCATAGGTGCACTCTGAAAGTGGTGAGAGCGTCAAAGTATTAGGTTTGGATTGTCAATGATTTACAATGTTTTCATACAGGAACATACGTTAAATAAGTTTCTGGTGAGTTACTGATGTGCATTAATGTTATATATAATATCTTTAAAAAAGCGGGAATCTCATGCGACAGTACAAAACACAAACAGTACTGCTGCTTCAGGATATTTCAGACTGGATAATGAAGTGGAGCAAAGCCACACCACACACAACTCCATCTTCCATTGCTAAATGAATTTGATAAGAAGTGCGCAACATTTTCACGCTAGACAGCATGTGTTATGCAGGAATGCAACCGATATGCTGCAACCGCCCCTTTAAACACGAGATCAGTGTAGCGAATGTTGACGCTCTCGCCGCCGGAGCTGAAGGCAGTCAGCGTTGTCGCCAGGGTGGGCAGAGTGACCGTGGACACTCTCACAGCTTTCGTTGTAAACCCACGGCGAGTCTTCCTGCACTCGCTTCAAAAACACTTGGTGGATCTCGGCTGGTGGATCAACATTCACCACATGATCCCTCTCACCCGCGCCATTATCGGAAGAGCGATACAGCACGATTTTAGAAAAAATAAAATCAAAACCAGTCCTGCTACAACCATCATATGCAGTCGCACAAACGCTCGTTGGGAGGGCGGGGCGCCCCCTAATGTAATGACAGGGGAAACACTGTAATGGAGCATCAGGACACATCACTATACTGGGGCATTAGGACCCACAGACCCCAAGGTGAGCCCCCTGCTGGCCTCACTTATCCTGCTTCCGGCAGCAGCCTGGTTCACCCGGTGGTCTCTTATCCAGGTAGTAACCAGACTCTGCTTCAGTGTGTGCCCTAGTGAGGGATCTCCCCTGATGTGGGATGCGTCTCAGTGTCGTGACTGAGGCTGATTCATTACTCAAGGTTAGTAACAGCTCTTCTGAGAGGCATGTGAGGGGGTCTGCGAGAGATGGCATGCTCTTAACGCAGATGAAACCGCATAAGTGAATGATCTAAAGGCTCCTCATGGGATGAAACTCCATTACAGGTCGCTCAGCTACACCACACAACACCATCCGAGAGACTCACTCAGCTAATGAAGCTCACAGCAGGTTCCTCTCTGTCTGATGCTACGAACATCTCAGTAGTCTACAACACACAAGCATTGGCTACCCTTCAGTACCTAAAGGCACAGATCATCCATAAAATACGGCTGTTTTTACTCACACTGCCCATGTAAAACCCTCTCCTGAATGCCGCTCTATATTCATTTAATGCAATTCAGACACAAAACCTTTCCACTGGCGCAACACGTTTTCAAAGCTTCTGCTTCTGTCATATAAAGCAAGTGAACTGAACGTCTTTACTGTTTGAAGATGCCTTCATGACTTTAGACTAAGAGAAAGAGCAGAGTAGTGTGTGTGTGCCGGCTGTTCTGCTGAGCGGAGTCTTCATCAGCAGATGCTCCTCAGTCCAGCACTAATGAAGATGTGTGTCCATCAGTGGGATGAGGAAGAGCATCAGTAATCCACTTATCCCGCAGACGCAGGGCTTCATTACAGGACTGACTGCCTCAGGCTGTAAATCTCTCAGTGTGGAGAAGCAGCTCTGCAGACCACACGCTTCCCCCTGAGCAGAGTCCAGCTGTGGATTCACTCAGAGGAACTGATCAACACGATGAAACTATAGCTGGGTTTGCTTGAATAATATACACTACACCACCTGAATAAAGTCTTGTGGAATATCCAAGTTTTAGGAACAGTAAATAATATCTGCTCTTCTACTTGCTGATCTGGTGTCAGAAGTGTGTCTATGAAAGGTGAAGGCCTCTAGATTTTGCTGATTTGAGCTCAATGAATCTGATCATGTCTTGATGTTGACTGATTTGATGAGGACAGTGCGCTCTGACTCTGCTCAGACTACAGTCTCATCACTGAACAGAAATAATGTGATGTTTCTGGGATGTTCAGTTCCCGGCTATGCCCAGCAAGTGTCTAGATCATAGATGTCCAATCTCAGTCCTGGAGGGCTGGTGTCCTGCAAAGTTTAGTTCCAACCCCAATCAGACACACCTGGGCTAGCTGATCAAGCTCTTACTAGACTTTCTAGAAACATCCTTACAGGTGTGTTGAGGCAAGTTGGAGCTAAACTCTGCAGGACACCGGCCCTGGTTTTGTTTTGTTTTTTGGATTATTCACCCAGTCTCGGTCCCACTGACAGCAAACACACAGACAGAATGCAGACGTGTGTGTGTGTGCTCATCATGCTGGTCGCTGCACCTGCACTTTAACAGTCAAGTGTGTGATCTGAACTATAGACCCAGCAGAGAGAGACGGCTGACCTCAGACCAGGCCTTCACCTGCTCTCTTTAACCCTCTCCACACGTCTGTCAGACATTATTCAACAGCACTCACAGATGAAGACGCATGCGTGACCTGTGCAAACCAAACACTGCATCCCATACTCGAGAACTTAAGTGCGCACTCACTGAGTGTTCCTAGTGTGCTCTTCGTTAACAGGTAGTGTTCTAGTGCAAGTGCACTCATTCATTTTCTTTTCAGCTTAGTCCCTTTATTAATCAGGGGTCACCACAGCGGGACGAACCGCCAACTTATCCAGCATATGTTTCACGCAGTGGATGCCCTTCCAGCTGCAACCCATCAATGGAAAACATCCATACACCGGCCCAATTCACCTGTGCCGCATGTGTTTGGACTGTGGGGAAACCTGGAAGAAACCCACGCCAACACGGGGAGAACATGCAAACTCCACACAGAAACACCATTTATTTTCACTAGTGATAGTTCCTGTGTGTGTGTGTGTGTGTGTGTGTGTGTGTGAGGCAGAATGAATGACTCCAGCAGCTCATGAATGATTGAAACGCTTCAGTCCAATAATCAGATCCTGCAGAATCAGCAGCGCTGCATTCACACAACACACTTTCCCTTCATTAAGAGTGTGTGTGTGTGTGTGTGTGTGTGTGTGTGTGTGTGTGTGTGTGAATTATAGATCCAGCTCTTTCATGGACACACGGGCGAGCTGCGGATGTGAGGATGTGTGAATGAAGCAGTGTAACTGGAGATCACACACACACACACACACACACACACACACACACTCACCATGATGAGGCCGGTGCTGATTGGCTCAGAGCAGCCGTGGCACAGCTCCCCGAATTTAGCCCAGTAGTCCTTCTTACAGAAGAGCCGTCCGTCCTTCTCATAGTACCAGTGCGAGAGAGACGATCCACACTCACAGCACCTGCAGGACACACACACACACACACAGATGATGAGCTGAACCCAACAGAACACACTCACCCACCACTCCTCCAGCTCTGCTCGTCTCGTTTTAGTGAGTTTGGAAAATCCCTGAGAGAAGTGAAGCATTTACCACGGTTAGAAGATCCGTTTCTACACAGGTGAACAGTTCTGAGGAATGATGTGTGGAGCGAGTCAACACTGCAGTGTGTTCATAATTTGCACAATCTCTTTTAACATTTGACCATTAATTGCCATGAAATAATGTCTGATTTCTTGAGTGGTTGAGCGACACAACTCGGCTGATTGGATGAGCTGATGGCCTTTCTGATAGTATTGATCTGATCAGTAAAGAAATGAGTGAACTCCTACATTTGCTTTCAGAGTGTGGCTCACTGGGAATATTACTGGATTGTGAGTCTCTACAGTGCACAGTATACAGTAAAAGCCAGAGTTACTCATTTCTGTTTAACCAGGTGCAGATTTCCCCCAACACATCTCTGATCATAACAGTGTTAATAACTCATCTCTAATAGCTGATGTGTTTCCTCTTCTCCATGATGACAGCACATCATATTAGACTAGATCTTCTTCAAGACACTAGTGTTCAGCTTACAGTGACATGTAAAGGCTTCACTAGGGTAATTAGGGTAAAGTTAGGGTAATTAGGCAAGTCATTGTGTAACAGTGGTGTGTTCTGTAGGTAATCCAACACTAATATTGCTGAAAATGGCTTTAAAACTAATAAAAACAGCTTTTATTCTGGCCCAAATAAAACTAATAAGACTTTCTCCAGAAGATTAAATATTAGAGGAAACACTGAGAGGAACTCCAGCATCTGTTGAAGATCATTGGGGAAATATTTCTGAAACGGCTCATGATTCGGCCCTCAGCTGTATATGAAGAGTGCTGGCTTTGATGATGACTGGACTCTGAGCAGGTAACACCCACTAACACACCATCATCAACAGTCCAGCTCACTGTTGACCATCTGCCTCTCTGTGACCTCTGACCCTTCACTTGAACCCTGACCCCCATCCTGTCTCCTGTAATACACAAGACGATGCCTCATTCTGACACGCACTGCTCAGAGAGATGTTAATGCACTGATGACCAGTATAAAGACCAGTTCTGCACACACACACACACACACACACACACACACACACACACACACCAGGAGCTCTGTGTTCCCTGACGCAGTGTTTTGCATGTCTCTGTGTCTGTGTTGATGATAACAGCGGCTCTCGTCTGAGCAGGTGAACTGCACTGACAATGCAAATACAGCAGATTACACAGAGGAAGAGCTGCGCAGCACTGCGGAGACTCTACTGACTGCCGATGGGAACTCACAGTCTCCAGTGCTGTGCATTATTGTACATTATATTAATGTCCGCTAGGTTTGATCTCTTTGACTACATTTTAGTCTTGTCTTGTTCTCATGATTGATGCTGCATGCTGATATCTAAGACCACCTTCACTAGTCTAAGATAAGATCAGGTTTAAACCTCTCCTGAGATCAGTCGGGCTGTTGTTCAGTTGTTTTGGGTTGACTCTGATGGAAGGTTTTGTTCCTTTTTAGATGTGGACCGCTGTACAGAAACACCTGAGCGCAGCAGTGCCAGTGTCACATGACCATTACAGCTGTGATGCGGTGCAAACCAGCATCAGTCACTCAGCATCTCCTTCAGTAATGTCAGAGAGGTTTAATATGCATGCGGGTGATCATAAGCCTGAGCATGTGTTTGCAGTGCCGGGCTCGAGTCTGCTTTTCTGAATGTTCAAGTGTCGCGTCTGCTGCTGACAGAACAACAGTTTGTTGCTGGAGTCTTGTTGTGCTGAATGTTTTTAGGACTCAGTCTCACACGTCACTAACAGACAGCTCTTAACCTCTTAAAGCGTTAGGTGAAACACATGCAGAACTGCACTGAACAGCATGGAGGAAGAGAGAGCTCTGATGAGGTAAGACACACAGGCATGAGGGAAGCCCTGCGCTGAGCCCTGAGCCGGAGTTCTGGCATCACTAAAGCCAGCTGCTGTTGTGTGTTTGACCCAGTCTTCAGCTGCGGGTCGACTGATCAATACACAGCAGCAGACTGAGGTTCATCGGTGCAGACTCCATTAGCCTGATGAAAAGCATCCGGTGGGGGGCATTCTGGGTAATCGGGATCCCTGAGGAGGAAAGCGGAGCCGCAGTGGACGCTGTGAATGATTCTCTGGGTCTTCAGTGACCCCTGACCCCATCACTGTGTTCATTCAGCTCAACGTGACGAGCAGATTCACACCGATGTCCCTGATCAGAGTCAAAGTGCCTTTTCAGGAAGGTCTGTTCCCTCGGCAGCCATTTGACAATCCTATCTAA